GGAGGAGCTGTGGCTGTCTTGGCTGCCCCGGCTCTGCTGCAAGTTCTTCCTTGGTCTGTCTGTCACCGAGTGCCAGTCAGGGAGGGGATGGCAACGTGAGCATTGGCGGCACACCCTGCCCATTCTCCGGTATTCACGAGGCCCTTCTCGACAGTCCCACACCTCCTGCTGGTCCCTGCAGGGAGGCATACCGGAATATGTACGATGCACGCCGCCTTCGGTGCCAGGAAGGCCCAGTGGGTGACAGCAAGGACGAGGGTGTTGGTGTTGTATCGTGGGAGGGCCTGCCATATGTAAGAGAAGTAAGGCCACTGGGCCAGCAAGGGAAAGACGCATCTCTCGGCAGCCTACAGAGGTGGGACTGACCCACCACACACCGGGGATCCTCAGGGAAGGAAGAGCCAGCTTCCCCTTCGGATGCACGGAGGCCAGAGGGCAGCGCGTGATACGTTCGATAGGTTCAGAGAAACCCTACTGTAATGGGCAGGCGATGATCGGAAACAATGACCCAGAAAATGTTCCCCAGACATAAGGTGTAGGAGTGGGAGGATGAGCCCCTGGCTCGGGGTGGGGTGGGGGTGGGATGCAGGTGGCAGCCGTGGCTCTATGCTAAGGAGAGTCAGACCGGCCGAAAGGAAGCGCGTCCGTGAGGCCGTTAAGTCAAGCTGCTAGCCTGAAATAAGGCATCCCCTTAAAGTACACCATACCAAACACCAGAGCAGGATTTGCGTATGGAAGCACTCTGCGTTGCCTATGGGGCCCCAAAGGCAAATGCGTCCAAGTAGGCGTCCCTTTGCATTCCTCCGCTGAGCACGCGCAGGGCTGTATCTTGGAAGCTGGACGGTGCCCTTCCGTGGAGTCATGACAGACAGCCGGGAGCAGGCCCCTCGCGCCTTTCGCCAACCATGTCCCTGTTATCGGCCGACCCGGGTCCCGCCAGGCTAAGGTGTTCACTGCAACGGTGAGTGGGGAGAGCCCTGAAGAAGGTGCGTTCAATGTAGATGCGGTAAAGCACTCTGGGTTACAGGAGATTTCTTCCCTTAGTGCGCAGTTCTTGGCCTCACAGCTTCGAGGAAGGAAGAGGTAGATCAGACGAAGAACGCTGGGCAGCAGGGCAAATTTTTTCAGCCAGAGGACAAAGCTGCCCGAGAGGGTTGGCGGGTTCCCATTCAGACTTGGGGGTTCTTTTGAGCTCTTTCCAGGAACTTGAGATTGGGTCCCCTGTGGATTCCCTGCCGAGGTGTGGCCAGTCAGGCCTTGGATCACGCCCACGTCTCCCGTGCTGATGGGTCTTGTGGGCTGACATCTGGAGACGAAGTGTCTAGGGTTGTGACAGCGACCGATGTTTCATGGTTAGTGGCTTTGTTTCGGGTCGTCCTGCATAGGTCACCCCTGCAGAGGCTGCTAGACAGGATGCTATCATGGTCTTGTCCGAGTGTTCAAACGGGATGCTAGCGCGGTTTTGTCTGAGCTGTCCCAGCGCCGTGCTTTCCTGTTGGGGACCCTGGCCCTGACGCCCTCAGCGTCCAATTGACTCCTGACACCTGGGGCTCCCTGATCTCCCAAAGCATCCCGCCCAACCCCCGCCTCACCCTTCCCTCCGGGCCGGGCCTCAACATCACACCGTGAGTTGAGAGCTTGCGGGAGATGCTAAGAGGTGGGGGACCGTGTGCCCACCTCTTCCCCTGAGCTTTACATCCTCTGCAACTCCCTACCAAACGGCACATGCGTAGAGGAGTACCCTGCGGTCCCCTGTAATGGCCCAGCCTAGGAACCTTTCAGACCATGTGCGGACATGGGAGCTGTCCCTCTCCCGCTGCCGATTATGAAGTCACACTTTCATCTGAGCCACACAAGCAGAGCAAGGGGCAAGCAGGTGGGTACCCCGGCATTTACAGACCAAGAAGCTGAAAGGAAGGGCCCCTAGGTGGCGCAGTTGGTTAAGCAGCTGCCTTAGGCTTGGGTCATGGTCCTGGAGTCCTGGATCAAGAACCATGTCGGGCTCCCTGCTCAGTGGGGAGTCTGCTGCTCCCTCTGACCCTCTTCGCTCTCGTGCTATCTCTCATTCTCTCTCTCAAATAAATCAATAAAACCCTCAAAAAAAAAGGAGGCTGAGAAGACCGATGTCCCCTGTAGCCCGAGAGAGCCAAGCCTCCCTCCTAGAGGCTCAGGTGCCTCCGCCCGCTCTCTAAGGGGCAAGGCTAAATCCTACAGATCATCAATTCCACAACCTGATGCCGGACAGGCGATCCGTCCTGCATACTGAAAGGGACAAGTAGCATCCTTGCAGTTTGACCGCCAAACCCTCCTCCAGGAAAGAGCCGCCACAATACCCGGAAGTGGAGGAGCGGGAGCCTCAGGGGATGGGGTGCGGTGGGGGGCAGGAAGGTTAGTATTGCCTCGTCAGGCTCAGGGCTGCTGCACTGTGCAGTCACTTTTGCTGGGGATGGAGAAGAGCCTCGTGTGGTAAACGCTGATATCTCCCCACTCTGCTGGCGGCAGATTCAGTCCTCTGCCAGCATCCCTAGGCCCAGGCGTCTCAGGCAAGCAGACGCCCGCCTGGGGAAGGAGGACCCCAGGGACTCACCTCTCTGCCTCCCAGGTGCGGCTTGCGACAGGTACTCTGTAGGCTCCAGGTCTTTCCATGCACCTATGCACAGAAGGCTTAGGGATATCAGCCCCAGACTCACCATGGGCCAGACAGCACACGGGAGGGTGGCCCGGCCCTTGCACTTAGCAGCTGTGCTATACCTGCCCCTCCCCTCTGACCCTCTGCACCCTGGCGGACCCCAAACTAGGGTCTTAGGGAAACAGGGGCCTAGGGATCCTGGGGAAGCGTGGGTGCGTCAGTGTGTGAGTGTCAGGACGTGTGAGTGAAGGGGCCTGTGGGTGGGTCAGTGAGTGAGTGTGTGCCTGAGTGAGGGACCGAGGGGGCGTATGTCAGGGGCTGTGAGTGAGTGCAGGAGTGTGTATGTGGGGGGTGACTGAGAGTGAGTGTGTGTGTCAGTGTGTGGGACTGCCTGAATGTGTGGGGGCGTGAGTGACTGTGCACCTGCGTGTGCATCTGAGCGTGTCTGTGTATGTGTGTGTGTCGGTCCGTCTTCCCCACAAATTAGAGCCTCGCCTGGCTGCTGTGCCCGAATGAGCGTCATCTTTCCTACCTTCCCACCTCCCTCTGTCGCCTCTCCCACCATCCCTCCATACGGCCTGACCCACACTCGCTATCATTGTGGCTGGTCCTGAGAGTCCAACCGTGTCAGCAAGAGGCTGTGCGTGTTCCAAGGCATGAAGGGCACCAGCGCTGGGTTCAACGGAGTAATGAACCTTGGGTTCTCCCACCGACTCCCCCGTGGCGTGTGCAGTGGATGTGTCTGAGGCCACCCACCAAGGAGCATCCCTGGACGACTGTAATTGCCACCCAGCGAACCTGGGTCCTGGACACGTTCGGCCCTGGCTCGTCGCTCCCTTTCCTTGAACTTCCTTATTTCCCCAGGGAAGAGATGAGCCCCAGGTAGCTGGCCTTGGTCTCATTTCCTCTCCCTGCCCAGTGCCCCCACACCCCAAGGGGAAGGACCTCTGGGCCCTGGGATGCAGTCCCCAAGCGTGTGTGCCCTAGCCCTCTGGGCAAGCATACAGGCCAAGCCATTCCATGGGCTGGCGATGCCCAGGCAGAGAACCAAACACCCACCAAGGCCGATGTGCTCAGGGACTCCAGCGACCCTCTTTCACAAAGGGGAACGCGTGCACCCGAGCACCCACGTGCACACACCCACACTCACACACACACACTCACAGAAGGACACTTGACCTTGTTTATTAACCATTTAATATTTTTCAGGTCTCCTGGGGCCTCAATCTGCCCTCTGTTTTGTACCGGAACCAGTCTTCAGTTAGTCCTGCACAGAGAAACCGGCCTGAACATTCAGGTCCATCTGAACCTTTTGTACTGGCTTTGAACAACTGCGATGCTCCCTCATATTCATCTCAAATTCATGACGCTCCCTGGGAGGGACAGACACACAGACATGCAGACAGACACACACGAACACAAGAGGAGACTCGTGTGTACCTGCTCTGGGCCATATGTAAGGTTGCTTCAGTGTTTGAAGGCCCTCTCCGGAAATGGCGGTCACTCTGATGGGGCAGCGGGGTGAGCCTTTGCGCCTGGATACCCAGACGTCTGTGCCAAGCGTGGCGGGAGGCAGCTTCGGGGGGCCCATGTGTAAGGCGGTGCTGGGGGAGACCTGAGGGTGGGTTTTATGGTCCCGGAATGACAATTCCCACAAGTGCAGCTGCCGAGCTGTCCTTCCCTCTCCAGCTCAGCTCATGGACGCTGCCTGGCCCCGCCTGCCTCAGGCATCCCCAGGCAGAAGCCGTTTGGCACTGCACTTGTCCAGTCTCCCCCTCTCACGGTGATGCCCTTTTGACCCGGGGTCCCTGCGGCGGAGAATTCCACGGAGCCTCAGGGTCTCCTCTGGTGGAGCCCAGGTCCCACGGAGCCCCACTGCGCACATTTCAGTGCCCACACCCCGGGCCCCTCACCTGTCCTCCTCTCCGTTCCATTTCGTGGGGATCTTCTTCGTCACGTAGTACTGCAGGGGGTTGGGCCACAGGCCGTCCATGATGATCTGGCGGGGGAAACGGGGCAGGGCTCAGAGGCCCATCTCAAGCAGCCGGGGAGCCCAGCGGGGTCCTTCCCGCTGTTTGTCACAGGGCCCCACCTCGGCTATCCTGCTAGACCCGGCAAAACTGTGGGCAGAGAACCAGTTGAAGAAGCTAAGACTGGGGTTGTGGTGCCTGCGACTGTAGGCCTCCCGTTCATAATCCTGGTGCCACTGGATGGGAGTGGAATGAGACGACCCGTACCCTGCCAGAAGACGAGGTTGGCAGAAGGCGCCGGGTAAAGAATCGTGTTCAACCCTCCCTCCTGCACCTGCGGCCGCCCATCCAGGTGGCAGCCTCTTACCAGCAGCGCCGAGGACATAATCGTTCACAACAACTTCATTCCGGAGGTAGGGGTCCTTGTGAAAGAAGAGGAGATCTTGTGGCAATCACGGGAAAACCTGAGTTCCTCCACCTGCCGGGTGGTAGAGTGGGGGAGACAGGGGTGAAATCTCTGTCCAGTAGAACGTCCCTGTCCTGACTTCGGGGCTGGATCCCTTC